CCTCTTTATTTAGAGGATTGAAATCCACTCTTGTGCACAGACCTAGCATGAAGCATTTGTGTCTTTGTCATTTAGAAGACCCTGAAAAAGGCGTTCTGCCTTTACTGAGATTTTTGTGCTGATCTTTACAGAGCAGTGGCTTTCTGCCAGCCCTGGTGAAGCTCTGCACTAAGCAGCTTTCTGCAGAGAGTAACAAACTCAAAACAAGACTGAAATTCAGCCTTTGCTGCCTGCTCTCCTTCCAAGTGCCATCTGCCATTAAGACAAAGCAGAGCTGAAAAATCAGGGCACTGAAATTCAGGAGCAGTATGCTTTGTTCTACATTCCAGTAAGGGAAAAGTTAGCTTTTGGGAGAAGGGAAGGGCTTCCATCTGGACCTATAGCTTTTGAAATCCCAGGAAGTTCTGCAGCAAACAGAGCTGCAGTCCTCATAGTGCAGCAGCCTTGTCCTGCAAGATGTCAACACCAGCTACTTCAGAAGAGAATGCTACAACACCCCACAGAGAAGAGTTTATAATGCTAATTGACCGAAAGAAAGCTGCTCTGAAGCTAATCAGCTAGGTCTTCAGAATGCTCCTACAGATGTTTGTGTAGCTTACTTTGAGAAGGTACAAAAAACATGCTTACATGGGACAAAAGAAGACTTGAGCACACTCCTTCCTTGGTGTAGATAAAAATAACAGCAGGCCTAAATTACCCAAAAAGGTGATTGCTACAATCCAGTCAAAGAAAAAAAGATTTGCTTACCTGTCCCAAAGATCACAGCTTGCCAAATGCTCCAAAAGAGGGAATCCCCAGGTAGAGACCCTTCCCTTAGGGCAGCTAGCCCTTAAATGAGGCTTAGGGAGGGTAGAACCTTCTGGTCTCACAGGTGAATTGCTTTCACTTGTGTTCACAGGGCTGGCTACATTTGGACCATTATTCAGAGTATGTCCATAAAATACAATCATATTTACCAGAAAAGAGACTCTGGCATCCTAGGGTACCCCTCTTCTACCCAGTTTTCCCTCTATAGAAAGCACTAATATCCTTATTTAAAACATTTGCACAGAAGTTTATAGAGGCCAACTTTAACAAAGGCTTATAGTTCATAATAAGATCAGAGCTTGATTTGGGGCAAGTTTCTTTGGGACAGGAGTAGTCTCACCTTGCATTGGATAAGATGTAGCTGCACTTCCAGCAGTCAGAACAAACAAGAAGTGGTAAATTGCAACAACACCTTGTTTCTAAAGCAGGTAAAACGCTCTGCAGCTGTGATGTAACAGATGTTAAGGGGCTGAACTCAGCTTTGTCTCCACTTTAACGAGCAGATCCTGAGCTTGCCAGGGCAAACACAGCAGATGCTGTACAGATGTTGACTCAGCAGAGAGCTCATCCTGTGCAATATGTACATTGTCACAATGCATATCAGTATCTATTATTTATACATTTATGACTGTAATACACGGTTGGCCATTCATAAGTGCATTACGATACCAGGGATGTATACTGAAAAGTCAGGGAAATAACTTACGAGATGACAGAAAAGAACTGCTTCTCTGCAGTTATACTGCTGTCACTTTAGTTTTTAACTATAATTTAAACTCTTCTGGGCTGTGTACAGACGTTTTGAAGAGCGTTTCTGGCTTGTTTTCCTCCAAGCTTACTCACTGCAAATTTGCAAAGAGTTTATTTAAAACTGAAGAGGCGACAATCACACGACAACTGATTTGGTTACTGATGAGCGTGTGATTCTCCGGATGGCGTTTGGTCAGCAAGGCGTGATGCAAAGCAGTGGAGGCTGCTGAAGTCCTACTGCAGAGTTTATTCAGACAGAAGCGTGGAACAGAGAGGGAACAAAACCTGAATGCACAATTTGAATAGTGTACTAGCTGGTCTTTGCATATAGTAAGTAATGCAAAACAAAAGTGTTCTGTTTGAGAAGGTAAAATATGTTAAAATACTCTCTTCTTAAAAAACTATATTTTTGGATGCTTGGGAAAGTATTTTGACAATTGTAGTCTTATCTCGCATTAGATTTTTCAGGTGTCAAGAATGTCAGGAAGAAAATCTTACTTCCTTCCAGCATTTTGATTTCTTGTAGGGGCTTTGTGTTAAATAATGTCATGTTGATGAGGCTTATTGGGAGAAGAAAGAAAAAAAAAAAGATGTTCATTTTCCACTTTTAATTAATGTTAAGAATACACAACAGTTGCTGCTTCACTTTCACTCCATTGCTGCTCATTAATGTGTATTTAATGTCGCTTCAGTGTTCTGTCACAGAAGAATGCTAGGCTTAAGCTACCAAAAGCAGGTGCAAGTCTTCTCCTTGCCATCACTGGGAGCTGCATCAGATCCCAGGAGTTTAATTAGGGTATAGAAGGCAGGCAGCAGTTTCCAGATTTCTCCCACTCTTCCCAATTAAGGAATGAAACTGGCAACCTGCCAAGAACATGGCTCTGTCAGTGTTTCCATAAAGCATAATCCAAGGGTTGTGCTAGAAAAATACAAGAATCAAAGCACAGAATCAAGCTCTAGCGCAGCAGTTGCTGCTGGGATGGCACTGGGGGGGAAAACTGGTGTGTTTCACCAAGTGAGGAATTGAGCAAGGCTTTGCACAGGGCCTGTATCCCTGGACAAGGTGTCTCCCTGTGCTGAGGAGGCTGGGAACCCACTGCAGTGTGCCCCTACCTGCTGCCTTGAGCTCTGCATTTCTCATTCAATGCAGGTGCCAGGTCTAAAGTTCCATGAATTTTCCCTGCATTTAGTGCAGTGGTAGCTAAAAGGAGAGGTTCTCAGCAAGTGTCAATTGATGCCCTGTACTCCCATCAACAGAGCTTTGCCTACTCATGCAAACTGAGGGTGTAGGTGATGCCATCAGACAGAAGCATCCTCCCTTTTTGCTCGCTCAGAGCAGTTTCAGAAAGATCAGCTGATGGCAGGAGCCTTCTCCCCTCTGTTGGTAGCTCCTGGTATCAGCTTTATTAGGCAAGTGATAATTAACATCACCAGAGAAGCAGTTGTTTAGAGATTTCTGTGGGAATTATTCTTCCCAAAAGCAACACGGGCAGTAATTCTGCAAAACAGAGAGGAGAGTAGAGCTGCTAGAAGGCTGCTGCCCAGTGCTTAAACAGAGGGGAAATTATTTGGACTTAAAATACAGACGTGAAATGATGGTGGTAGCAAACACTTAAAATGGTGAATGAATGAAAAAAGAACACAGCAGTTCCTGTGATCGGTTGCATAGGCTCCAAATTGCCACTTAGCTCTCACCACTTCCCCAGATACACATGGGGAATACTGGTGACCCATCCACATGACGCAACAAAACACAGCCATCTCCTTTCTGTTCCTTCCCATTAAAATGTATTTTCTGAAGTTTCTCTGTGGACAGTTCTTAAAACTTGATGTTATCAGTGGATACATAGTTTTTTTTCCATTTTAAACCTATTGTACCATTCTGTTTATTATGTTTTCTAGTGTGAGCAGATCGTATTTATTTGAGAAAAATGTTTGCTGTTTAAAAAACCAATAATTGTATTGCCAAAAATAGCTGTAATTACCTGTGACATCTGTATTTTTTTATTTTGGGGGGGCTGGGGGGGGAGGAGGGTTGGTTGGTTGTTTTTAATCTCAAGTGCTAACAACTGTTAAAACAACCATTGCATTTTAATTTGCTTATTTCATTAAATGGATTTCTCTGAAGTCAAACAAAAGCAGCTCGTAGGTGATTTAATAAAGATGTGCTCCCGCACCTTGCCCTTCCTATTTAAGCGTTGCTCTGTTGAAACATGGAAGAGAAAGGGGAACGTGAGCCCTTTTCCCCTCCCTTCGCTGTAGATGAAGTTTATTTATCTGACAGCAGATGGCACAAAACCCTCTCAAGTCTTTTCCTGCTGCACAGGGACCGGGTTTTCCCTCCGGGTAGGAGGCAGATGGCTCAGTGTCGTCTCTACTGCTCCGTGGCTTTTCCCCTCAAAGTTTCTTCACTGTCATATTTGGATGCATGGCATTGGAAACACGACTTTTAAACAAAAGCAATGTCTACCTCTATAATACACTTTTGGGAGCTCTTAATCCAGCAGTGTTATCAGCCACTCAGACTTTTCATTCAAATCAACTAATTGCTTTGAGTTTTATGGCATACAGCTCTGTTTTCTCATGGAACTGATCATGCCAAGGTTAAAGCCACAGCTTTTATCAAGCGTATGCCAATAGAGCAACACTTCCACACACCTGAAAATTTAATGGAAGTAGGTTCTAATAAATTAAAAATGAAATGCATGATGTATTTCTAATTAACCATTTTGTCCAGCTCACTCAAACCCATGTCCTGCAAACACATAATGATTTTATACCATGCTTCATATCTTATTAAAGCCAGCTCACTTTGACAGTATTTACCATTTGCAAAGCATTGGGCAGCTGCAGAAAGCTGCCAAAGGAAGACGTGCTGCAACCTTGCTGGAAGGCAGCACACACGAGTCCTTCACAGAAAGGAGCTCTGCCTACAGCAGGCTTGGGTGAATCTTGTGCTCTTCCTGCACATCACACACTTAGGAGACAAAGAGAGCTCTGCTATGCCCCAGCTTGCCTGAGAAGGAACAAGGGGACTTGAGAAACCCACTGCTCCTCTGGATGCCCTCAATGCATTCAGCCCTGCCCCACGTCTCTGCTCAGCAGTGATCCATGTGTCCTGCTGGCACTTCACCGATGCTCTTCGCTCCTCATGGAGCCACAAACCACACAGCAAATGACCTTGCTTGTTTGTCAGCATTCCTGCAAGAAGAGCAAGACTGTTTTTCCAGAGATTCAAACTGAGTTTTCAAGCAACCCTGCGATGGTTGCACTACAGCAGTACCCACCAAAGATGCTCTGCCTTGCTGGGGGCCTGCCCATCCACTGGAGTTAAACCCTGCACAGTGTCCCTACAGGATAGCTGCAGCAGGTTAACCCAGGCCAGTGTTTCTTTCAATCTTCACCCTAAGCCACAGCTCCTCCCCTCTCCCCTGCATGGGTGCTGATGAGATGGAGCTGAATTGTGCAGGGTGAGGTGCCCCCACTCCTGTCACCCACCGGTTTCACTTAGGGACCCATGAGGTCACTGGTTTCTCAGCAGTCATCAGCACATAGGAAACATGAAAAAGGAACTGCAGAAAAAAAGGAGAGGAGGCAGAGATCCCGGCAGAGATGAAGTCATGGTAAATCTGCTCCCACTATGCTGAAAAGGGACCCGACAGGGAGAGGAAGTCTGCAGATAGTCCACGCCACCACCACAACATGACTTTCACCACTGTACTGCATGTCGCAGCTCTGCTCCTGCTGCAAGGTAAGCAATGCACTTCTACCTTTCTTTCTTCTTAAGGGACCCAGCCTGGAGAACTCCATCTACAGAGCCATATGTAGAGCACTGCACACAACACAGCTTTGCTGCTGTTGTTTTCATACTGACAGCGTTGTGTTGTCACCCAGCTTCCAAAGCTGTGGAGCAGACAGGGTGCTGAGTTCCAGTTCATTCCTAAACCCAGGATCAGTGAGACCAACTCATCTCCCAGCAGCTGGCAGCATGCTCAGGATAGGAAATTGAAGGAGTCTCCCTTAAACATGAGCAGCAGATTACAGCTTACTTTCCATGACTTGGATATTTGTACATGCACTTGCTCACATATTTTTGTAGAAAGAGGCTAATATAATAAGTCAGAGTAATTTAGAAAGCACTCACAAAGTACTCTGAAAAGGAATAGCACTTTAAATGCTCAGCCTCTTCACTCTAACTCAAGGATGCATCTTATCCCTACCTTTCTCATCTCTTTCATACATGGGAGAGTGCATGAGGTTCACATTTGACCATGTCAAATATGGAAAGATTTCAAGATTTCAGTGAGGAAAGAGGCAAAACAGCTTTCTACAGCTCAGGATTCTCTGAATGACAGCTCTGGTGCTCGCCTAATAGTCTCTCCCTTCTTAAATGCTAAAGCAGAAACTGTAGCAATGCTATTGCTGATACTACAGTAATAATCTCACACACAAAGACATTATTACAGAGGCCACATCCAGTCTGTCTAAACAGCAACAAAGCATTTTTTAAACACAGCACACTCGGGATATTTTATTACCACTGATTATGTTTAACAGAACTTGAGCCTTGAGAATCTGCCAGTCACACTCCAGCTGAAATAGTGCTTGCCATGCCCTTTCAGCTTGCTGCAAATCAGCAGCACCCTCTTTCTGGGTGCACAGCCCCTCTTCCCCAGCACTTCCAGAGCCTGCTGTATGACAGCTTTGCACCCGCTGAGCCCCGCTCGCTGCTCTCAGCTGTCTGTCGCAGCACCTCAAGAAGAAGCTCAGACTCCCATTCATACATGGGCAGCCACAGGTCAGAAATAACTGGTTGAACAGGATGTCTCTATAGGCGACAGTGTTAAAGATAACTGAAATGATTGAGTTAGTGTTTATCTGCAACAGTGCATGTATTTTCTGCTGGCTAAAATAATAGCAGAGGCATGTACCATTGCACTCTGATGCACTGTGCAATTTCTAGCAAGAAACTGCTGGCCTGTCTTGCTAAGGTGGATGGATGCATTGCCACACCCGATGGCAGACACTTTTCCAGGTACTCAAGACAACTGGGATTCACATAGCATAAAAACCTGGCTTTTGGATCTGGCACAGGAGCATCCCCTGCCCCACAGTGATTGCACTGCAGAGAGCGTAGTGGCTTGAAGACATGCAAACTGCCCCATAAGGGGAGAGAAATTTGACGTGGGAGCCATGGTCTGCACGGAGCCATAGTCTCAAATGGAAATTACATGCATGCTCCATTCTGGGGGTTGCTCATTTCTTCTTTAAGTAAGAGCAAGCAACCTCCCCCATTTTTTCTTGCTCTCTAACCTCAAAAGGTGCAACTTGAAAGACCCCACATTGCTGCTAGCAACAGGAAAGAGCCACTACGCAGCCACTGTGCAAAATATAGAAAAGCACTGTGGAAAACCACACACGAGGCCCTTTGTGCTCCTTTACCAGCACGCTGCTGGTGACACAGGCTTTCACAAATGGAACCCCTGCAAGGCCATCTCCCTTTTGCAAACTCTCACAGCTTGCACGCACCCTGCGAAACAACCTGAGAAACTGCTTTCAGCATCCAAGATCAGGTCCAATAAGAATGCCCTAAAATGGCTTCGTAGTTGTTACATTTTAAAATGCTTTTAAGAAAATGAAAAGCTTTCCTGAAGCCCAGGAGGATTCATTTCCCCAGACCACAGTGCTTGTGTGTGCAGTAGGAACTCACAGCACACAGCTACCTGACAAATAAGATTAAAACAGGAATGAAAAATAAAACCATCTTACTGCCTATTTTCTTAACTCCGACCAGGGCACCGATCTCAGCCATTTCTCCAGGGCATGCTACCTCTGGAGAAAGCAATTCATTCCGGGTCATCAAATATTTTCAAAGTGTATTATGTATCTGTGAATAAGCTGAGAAAAACACATTCCAGAGCTCCTCTCTAAAATGAACTGGGAGGAGTGAGTGAAATTTCATTTCAGTAACCCATGCCAGACCAGGTTTGTGCATCCTGCCTTCAAAGCAGCTGCAGCATTACCTTTCCTGCAGAAAAAAAAGCCTCATTCTCAGAGCTGTCAACCATTCACAGCTCCCACTCAGTTCACCCACTTGCCAATTAGGTTCAACAGCTCCAGAAAAGAATAAGGAAATGCAAAAACTGATTCATACGGGGAGCACACATGCATTAAGGGGTGTGCTATCAATTCTTCATTGACTCATGTGGAATAGCATGTAGCGACTACATCTGGCTCTGCTGGCAGACAGAGGCAATAGACTGCTGGTACAGGTCCTACCTAGTGATTGTGGTGACCTATCTGAGGATTGTGAGTTAATTCAATCAGTACAATCTTACAGACAAGTTTCCTCACCTTTACGCTCTTGAGAAAAGGAAAGCTGACTTATTGCTTCATGTAAAACATGGACACCTTACTTCACATCACATTATAATGGGTCTTCTTTTCCCCTCTCTCTGTGGCAGGGGATTTTCCAGGAGCTGGCAGCGAAACCATAACCCTACAGGAAGGAGAGGACCTGAACCTCCGCTGTACCCTCAGCGGTGACAGCAGAGCCATCAGGCAGTGGCTAAACCCCCGTGGGTTTACCATTTTCCTTGACAATCGTTGGGGTAAGTGTGAAACCCCAGTGCAGAAGTTTCCATGCAGAGCAGAAGGGTCAGCCAGCAGTGGGTTTTCCAGCCACGGCACAGAGCGGCTCTGACTCATCCAGCCCCTTTCTGGCAGACGCCAATGAAATGGAAACCCCCACAAGAGTGGTCTGGCAGCAGAGCTTTTAGCGATGAACCGCGTTCACCACCAGCACCAACAGATTAGCACAACACCCACTGCTGCCTCAGACAGACAGGAGCAGACCTGCCTGAAAGCTCTGGGCACTCTTCTTCTCATCAGCAGTGCTGCATTTAGTGTATCAAGGGGAAATGTTTAGAAAATAAGCAGTGGTTTCTAGCACGTGTTGACAAAGCCAGAAATACTACTGCTGGCTTCCCTTCCATTCCCTATCTCTCACCTTTCTCTGCTTGAAGTTTTGCTGAGCTGACACAGCAATTTATTAAGGTCAGGAAAGGAACAGATCTATGAGTACCTATAGCATTGGAGTGTAGCTCAAGCAGACAAAATAGTATCTGTCTTAAACCTGATGATTCTGCCCATAGCATCAATATCCTTGACTATCCCTCAGCAAGATGCATGATACAACATCCACAAAGATAGGAGTTTGCAAAGAATTTGCAAAGTCCTCTTACAATACCAAAGAAAATAGTCCTTCTTTAGAGAGGAACCAAGTTATGCATGGACATTTTCAGTTTTTATTCAGAATCACCACTGTGAACTTTTGTCCCACTGGTTCCCCAAAACCCACTTTGTGAAGCAGTTTCTTCCGCTCTCGTTCTCTACAATCCTTACATTTTATATTTCACCACTACCATGAATTACAGCACAGCTGTGATATTCTCCCAGCTCTGTATTTTCAAAAGACCTCATCTAAACCTTTAAACATAAAGATAGTTTTTGAGATCTTTTTATCTCTAATGACTGATTCCCATCCCCAGTTTCAGTATCCCACATGACTTGCTGGCTTGTCCCCAGGACTCCCACAGGAGGAACAAAGCAAAGGCAAGAAAACCTAGACAGAAAAATGGGACTACACAGCAGAGCGCAGTCATCTCATAGACAGTTTCATCTAGCTAATTAAGTAAGGATAGAGCAAGACAAACAGCCAATTAATAAACCATTAATGAAGAAGTATAGGCTGACCGTGATGTTCATTTACACACCATAATATACACCCAAAGAGGGGAAGTGATTTTTTCAAAGCAAGAGTAAGTCTTGAGAAATAGGGAATGAGGAAGGGAAAGTTTGTCACGCATCTTTGCTCTTTGTTCTTTATTCAGGAGCCATATTGTTCTGACTATATACTGTGTCCTCACCCCAATGTTTGCTTGTATTTATCTGTCTGAAGATTTCAAGACCCCAGTTACCATAAGACCTGACAACGCAGGACTAAGACTCCCTGGCTGTGCAATGGCTAGGAGGCAGCTCTAAAGGATGGGGAGCGGTTCACCTTTCACTTGCCAAAATGAACATCACAATAGGTTTTAAAAGTGAAATATACATATATATAAATATATATCTGCTGTTTTCCCTATTGGCAGGGCTTGTACCCTTCACCTTCATCATTTAACTGCTGTCTCTGTGCTAGTGCAGCACCAGCTAGAAACGCTTCACGCTAGAACTGCTCAGTTATGTCAAATGCTAAGGAGCAAACAAACAAAAAAATGCAGTAGACAAATCCAATCTCACTCATCACTGCTTTGATTATCCTTGTATGTGCCACCACACATAACATGCTGAGTTTTATTTTCCTTACAGCCTTAAAAGATCCGAGATACAAACTTACCCGTTATTCAGAGGATGAACTGTCTGTCAGACTCTCTAACGTAACGGTGCATGATGAAGGCATATATAAATGCTTCTACTACAGCACACCGTTCAAAAGCAAGATGACAGCTGTTGAGGTGTTAGGTGAGTTCTCTTCCTGCTCTATTCTACAGGAATGGAATAACAAAGCCAGCTCCTCAACTCCAGGATTGCCTTTTTGCATACAATTCTACAGCACTGAGCACAGTCCCAGACTCAGCTCAGCCCTCCCAAATAACACTGCACATGCAGCTGCTCATAAAACCAAACAGAAGTACTTACTGCAACTGATTCTAAACCTTCCTCCTGCAGCTGCTCCTTCTAAGCCTGTACTGCAAGTATCCCGAGACGCAGAAGGAAGCATTACATTATCTTGCTATACCCAAGGGTGTAAACCACAGCCCCAGGTCACCTGGCTGTTGGATAATGGAATACAGCTTCCCGGTAAGTGCTAAGGCAATGTAACAATTTCTATTTATCAGCCTTATTTATTAGTCTTACTTATCCAAGTGTTCACATTTAAAAGTACTGAAGGGAGAAACACATCACCAGATGAGACTCCTGCTCATCCTCTTCATTTTATACAACTCAGGCCTTGGTGGTACAGGTTAGGAGGAAAGCCAGCACCAAATACTGGGGTCTGTGCAGGGGAGAAGGCTCACCTGATGCGCTTGTATTCAGTGCAAGAATGGCAGAACTTGGCACCAAAATCCACTGAGAATCCAGAGTGAAGTTCCACTGACATGAAATGAAACCAAAACTCCAAAGGCACAATTTGCAAAGCCCAAATACAAAGTCAGATAATAAAACCATTATAACTGCTTCCATTCTGTGACTGGTACAGGCTTTCCTCAGCCGTGCTGAGCAGCTCACACCCACATCAGCTGCTCTTTTCTCATTAACCTGTTCAGAGGCAGGTAAGTCACTAGCAGAAGCAAAAAACAGAGCTCAAAAAACACACAGCTCACAACCCCCTGCAACAGCTACAGACCTGCACACATCTAGGTGAACACAGATGAGAGTAGTGGATAATGGGTAGCTCAATTTAACTTGTGTACAATAGAAACAGCTGCTTTGAAGGCTGTGATCCAACAGCTACTACCTTATTAGCTGTAACTGTTGCACACTGGACAGGAAATGCACCTTAATACCAACCTGTGAGGAAAACACCCCTAGGTACAAATGTATTTTCTTTTGCATGTTAACAAACTCATTTGTATTTTCTATCATTAAGCAACATTTTCATAGTTTAGCATAAAAGATTTTCCCCACAGAACAGAGTTCAAATTAGAAACAGAAAAGCCTGCTGGCCTGAATAAAGCTAGAAATCAAGACTAGAGAGAGGGGAAAAAAAAGAAAGAAAAGCTGTTGAAATCTAGAACCTTTAACAGCCCAACACACCACACAGACACCAGATAACCTCCATAACATACATAGCCAACTAAGCATCTTTCCATTTAGTTCAATAAAAGCCTACACTTACCTTCATGTCCTACTTGCATCTTGAGACTTGTAACACAAACACCAGTAAGACATTAGGACCTATCAGACCAATGAGAACTACCTGGCCTTCAGCCTCGTGTCCTGCAAGCAGCTGGGAAATTAAACATCAAAGAGCTATACTGTGTTTGTTTGATTGGTTTAACTTAGAGGTGGTTTCAGATGAAGGGATATTTGCATGAAGAAGTGCTGATTCACCATCCAGCTTGTTTGTGGCTGATGCAAATTCATGTTTGAATGGAAAAATAACTCTTCTAATTCGGGGTGTCTCAAGCTTTCTGCATGTGCTTTTCCCTTTTTGCAGGTGACTGTCTTTGAGCAGAAACTCTTTTCTCCCCACACCCAACTCCATCCCGTGCTCAGCTTGAATCACTCACTGCAAATATTTATACTAATCAGAAAATAGCTAATAAATTTTAATTACTGGCAGCGCCTCAGTTCCACCAGGGCACAGCAGGGGCAAACCAGCTGTAATTACTGAGCTGTTGCTGACAATTAAAGATTATTTCCTTTCTAGCAAAAACACTCTGAAATCCTTCTGAATTCTCATCTGACCCTATGGGGGATAGAAAAGAGGGCTGAGAAATACCAGTCATTGTGTCCATGTGATACAACAAATTATCCATAGAGGCTAATTTGGAAAGAAAGAATTTCTTTCATTTAAGAAATAAAGAAGTTACCACAGTACAGATAAAGAGAAAGCATTAGGCTTTTTGTCCAGAGACCCTCTATCACAGAAGCAGACAGTCAACATTATTGTACCACTGTGGGCATTTAAGGTAAACATCTGAAAAAAAAAAGTCCACCAGAGCAATTCAAACTTGTCTCTGTGTCACATGAAATACATCTTTATCATCCCATACAAGATAAATGAGTAGAAGTCAGTACACCTGGAGGACTGAGATCTATGCCAGACATGTCACATAGCTCTCTTTAATTCATTATGCCATGGTGATTTATCTTTGTGTTTCATCTCTCCCAACAGTGGGAGGGTCTTTTTTAGACCTCAACCATGCTGCAAACCAGCAGGTCCTTATGCATCAGGGCCACAGCCACAAGTAGGTGATCTATTCTGTCCAGTAAGGGCAAGAAGTGCTGCTGGGTGTTGGGACATCCCATTGCAGTCCTACAGACTGCATGAGCCCAGCAGCAGGGGAATTTCCCCACAGAATAACCACTTGTGCATAGTAATCATGCACTATTTTAACAGAGTGAAGTAATGCAGATTGTGCCTGGAAGGTTTTTCATTAAATTGCTCTTGACTAGAAAGCACTTCAATGTTTTTTTTTACATGGCTGTGTAGGTGACACCAGGCACAAGTTAGAAGCCAACGGGAAGAAATGGACCACAACCAGCACCCTCACAGTCCTGGCATATGGGCCCAACTCAACAGCCAGCTGCCTCGTTCACCACAAAGCACTGGGAGGAGGGAAGCTGACAGCGCCTTTCCAGTTTGAGGATGTTGCCAGGACAGGTGCTACAGCACTCTTTGAACAGTAATTATTGCATTTGAGCACTCAGGTAGAGAAAGTCATGCAAAACTGAAACACGTGGTCTACCACCTCATGTGTGGAATTTGTTTTGCCTACTGGGGCAAAAGTGGAGCTCCAAACTAAGGTTTTATGTGAGTTATTTTTCTTTTACTACATACCTAAAAACCCACTGTTGTTTTTCAGTGACAAACACAACTCCTGACTCAACTACACTAGAGGTGGATACGTATGTCTCTGAGTATGTGCAGCCTACAGGTAGGCACCAACTGCTTGGCCTTTTTTTACACAGATCAGATAACCATAAGATCTATCACAAAGAAATACTGTGCAGTGTCTCTATGTAGAGGTTGGACTGCAAAAGTTGCTGTTAGCACTCAGGAATATTTTGCACAGCATTAAGAACTTTGTTTTTTTCCCCAGTGACCACAGCAGAGTCAGATCTGAACAGCAATACAGACTTCCCTCCAACCTACCCACAACATAATGGTATGAGTTTTACTTTCATTTTTTACACATTTTATGGTGTTAAATATATTCAGAAGGCAGGGGAACCAAAGGTTGAAAGGAAGGACTATAAATCTAACCACAGCTCAAGATAGGGGACTCAAGCAGCCCAGAACACAAAGAATACCGCAGCAGGTTTCATTTCCATGGACTGGGCTCAGTGGCAAAGCGTGACTTCTGATTTTTATCATGTGTTTGAGGGGTTTTCCTCCAGGATCTGAAAAACCAACTATCCCTTCTGCAGTACCAGAGAATCCATTTAGCATTATTTAGCCGCACAGCATCGACGACAGCCCAGTAAAACCTCCAACCAGCTCTCACATTTACTTGTAAGTTTAGACTTAGCTGCACTCATTTATCAAACCAAGGCAGAAACACTAGAGAACAGCACTATAAGCCATCTTACACACAAACATATGACTCAGAAAAGCAGCATTTCTTGCTTGTGAGGGAAGCCCTCCATTTCACAGCCGTAAAAGCAGGCGAGCTCTCTCCCATCAGATGTAGCACAATTACATTCCCGTTGGCAGCAGCCAGATTGCCTCTCCTGGAGTGTCAGAAAGGCACGGTGAGAGCTGAGATTTCTCTGCATGGCTGCACTAGGTGGCACTGTGCAACAAAGATTATCAGTGCATACCGACGGCTGAAAACTGAAGCTATTCTACAGGACTGTTTCTAGGAGGAGAACGAAGAGCTGCACCGCACAAGTTGCTCGACCCAAACCCTCCAAAGCAGCACCCACATCTGCTTAGTGTTACAGAGCAAGCAGTGAAAAGTCAACTGTTTTAGAAAGAACTCTTTGTATTTGTTTAAAAGTGCTATGTCAGTGGTTACAAACTTCACAGCCTGGCTGCATCCTGTTGATAAACAATTCTATGAGTAGTAAGAGGGAGCATGAATCTTACAGCACAGTGTGCTTATGTACCTGGTAAGGAAGGAAATGAATGTAAAGCTCTGGCAGACACAGCATGCGTTACCATTTCAGTTCCACAAATCAAAGTTAGTTATACCAAAAGATATTGCCTACATGTGTAAGGAAGTCAGAACCCACCTCTTGTGTTTCTGCAGGGCCCAGAGCAACGACATCAGCTGCAGCAGGAGAGCTGTCTGCTACCTCTGCTCACCACATCCCTAACGGTACGTTACATCACAGCACAGCTCATGTCCCCAGGGCAGCCATTCTCTCACGCTGGGTGATCACACTTCTGAAAGCTATAAAGACAGCAAAAGTTAATCTTAGATAGGAATACAAGAACATATCTGCTTTAAGGAAAAAAATAGCTGCCTATTCTTGTATTTGCAATCAGGCAAAGCAAAGTAAGGGAGAGGAAAAGTTCAAAAAAATAATGAAGTCAAAGCTCACCCTCCTTTTAGTTTGTCTGTAAATGAGAATTATTGAGTAAGATACTCTGAGGATTTTCTGTTCATAAAGCTTATGTAGTATTTATATTAAAAAGAAATACTGTGTTAAGGAAGTGAACACGGAGTTTTTGAGTTAAGAGCTCCAGAAGTCTCCTTCTGCTACATTATCAGGTGTTCTGGACTTCAAACCTGTTGGAAAAACACAGGATTTTCAAGCATCCCTTAGCCCTTAGAAATACCATTCTCCTTTTCATCTCTCCAGGCACTGAAACAGCACCCAATGCCACAGCCACAGAGCAACTTTTCAGGACAGAAGCCTCCTTCCCAAGTGAAAACGTAACTCTGATTTCCAACATCACCTCTGGTAAGAACTCCTAAATACTCTTCAGAGACAGCTTCCAAACATGCAGCAAGCTTCCTAACACCCAGCTGATTCTTCCTGACCTCCAAAGCTAGCATCAGTACACTAAAGTAATACTGACTTCCAGTCTTGGGGACAAACCACAGAAATGCAACCATTTTTACCATCTAGAAAAAAGCTGAATGTTACCATTTGTTGTGCTAGGGCTAAGTCTGCTGACTTCAATTAGTTTTTCATATAACTAGAACAACAACTGAGCTCGTGTCTTAAAACTGAGCCCAACAAGGTGTATTCTGCTCTCCCACCATGCTGATGCAGCCTGGTCCAGGATACATCATTCTTGTTTTAATAACTAGAAACTCTCAAGAAGCAACAAATCAAGCATACATCTGCCTCTTTTACAGAGCAAGATGTGAAATCTGAAGGCATGAGTAAGAAGGAGAAGGATTTCCTGCTGCCACTCCTGGTGGCAGTTCTCATTGTCGTGCTGCTCATCATTGTAGTGCTCTTTACATGGAAGCTGAAGAAAGCTCATGGAGTTTGGAAGAGAGGTGAGTGATGGCACTGTTTGAGTAACTGCTTTATTTCAGAGGGGCTGAACAGCTGAGATGACACAGCTCCCCTGTCTTAAACATCTGTCTACAGACAGTAGCTGTGACTTGTTGCAAACAGCTGCTGAGGATTCCCCTGTAATCAATGGCCTCACATCAAGCTTCACCCTACATGACTCAACTATATTTTCTTTTCTTAAGCACATCCCTCGTGACTGACCAGAATTACTGCATCTTCATTTTCTGCCCTCAAAAGACTAGGATTTTTATATTCAAGGAAGAGAGTGAGGAAGAGTCATGGGAAAATCTTAATTATATTTGATTTTTGCACAGAAAATGATACTTCAGACCAGACTTTGGAGAGTTATAAATCCAGATCTAATGAAGAAAGCCCAGGCCATGAGAAGAGCAGACCAGGTAAAAAGTTTCAAACCAACATAAGTTGATCTCTACCAGATAAAGTGTTGCTGCTGACCACTGCAGAAGCAGATTGCTGCCCACCTTACTGCACAGAGACACTTCCAAATTGCACACTGTGAACTGAAATATTGCAAAATTAAGCCTTTCCTATCCTGAGGCCTACTACAGAGCTTGCAGCTTCAGCAAGGGTGACACAGAGCTGTACAAAATTCAAATTACTGCCTTTTTATTGAATAGTTTTGACTAGATAATCCCAGTGGTTTTATCTAAATTTAATGTGATGGAATGCTGTTCAAAACATCATCAGTGGTACTTAATTCAACTACTGTTAAACAGTCCTGAATATCCTGGGTGTTTCCTCATTCTATAACACTGTCATTAATATATATTTCATGCAGGTGCTTCCCCCTTTATAAATCAGTAATAAATATGTGTTTGTCTTTCAGTTGTCAATCAGAAGTCCAACGTGCAGTATGTAACAGAAGGATATGTGGAAGCAACACAGAAGAATCCAAGCGAGAAAAACACTACAATACCTGAGGAACAGTTTGCATGTGGAAAAGAAACAGATGTATAGCAAAGAGATCCTCCTGGCAAGCCTATAAAATGTACAGAAACACCAGTTTTCTGGTATTTATGTTTCAGCATTCACAAATCAGTATGATTTCAGGGAGCAGACATACAAACAGTTGCCTGAAATCCCAAAGGCAATTTGGATTGTTTTTGTCTGAAGGTTGGTAGATAGGGACAGTGCTCCTACATATCTGTTCATACATACGAAGACTGACTTAGCTCAGTCCTCAAAGGATTTAATTCACAGCTGGACTATGTGATTTTAATGATCTTTTCCAACCTTTATGATTTCATGATAATCAATCACTGCCAGAAATACAGGTCCTCAATCCACCCTAATTGCTATTAAGGTCCTGGCAAAGAAATCTGCAATTAGTCCCAAGGGACACAGGATATGCAGACAGTCAGCACTTCTGCCACCTCCCCTGTAAGCACAGCACTGACCAGGAAACTTTGGTTGATGGAAACCAATCGGTACTTCTAGCAACATCTCATTCTGACAACCAAATCTGGGCACCCAGCTGTATTTAGCCAAACATCCTGATGTCAGAGGCATTTAAAAACAACATGGCTGTCTTCTATGGAAATCTTGAAATGACAAAGGAGAAGAACCACACGGTGGGACTCTGCAACCCAGGGGTGAATGCACTTGCGTGTGGTGGGAAAGGTGTGAGAAGCAGCAGGACATTCCCTCTGCAGGGCAAGACAGTGATGTCAGCAGGAAGCTCTTCTTCTGCAGGAGCCTCGTGCTGTGGTTCTGTAAGGCACAACCAGGCTCCTGAAATAAAGGGAATGTTCTACAGGACAAAGCTGTGTTTATTCTTCTCATTAGGGATGGTCATTCCTCGCCAGACTTTATTCTGCAAACTGGTCTTGGATATCAAATTAAGTAAATGCCCTTGAAGCGACTGCTAGAAATATTTCATTTTTATGTGCAAAAAATGAAAACATTACTTCATTTCAGGAGGCTGTGGATGCCCCATCCCTGCAGGCATTCAAGGCCAGGCTGGATGTGGATCTGGGCAGCCTGGTCTGCTGGTTGGTGACCTGCACACAGCAGGGGGTTGGAAATTAAATGATCAGCGTGGTCCTTTTCAACCCAGGCCATTCTATGATTCTGTAATTTTTGACTTGGGGAGGGGAAGCATTTTGTATACAAACACAGATCTAGCTGGCAGCTCACAGTGCAGAGCCCAGGCCAGGAATAAGCACCAACATCAAATGTTTGCTTTGCACGTGTGAAACGTCCTGAAAAAACGGCAATCTGCACAGGGAGGAAGCACAGCCCGCCCTTCGGCTGCGCCCCTCAGCGCCCCTCAGCGCCCCGCGTTCCCGCGCCCGCGCGCTGCAATCGAATCCCGCGCTGCCACATCGCTCTTCGATAACGTCCGCGGTACCGTTTCACCTCAGCAGGGCGGCAACCGTCGTTCTAATAAACCAACCTGATTTTACCACAGCCTACCTGTCGGCTTTTCAAGTGTTTTTATTTCACCGCAGGGAACGATCTGACTTCTCGCTCCCCCAGCCTGTGGTCCGCACCCCGGGCACGCTCATTCCATTTCCCGCGCTGCCCACCCCCCCCCGCCCAGCACTTGGTAGCTGCCGCGCCGCGTCCTCCGCCGTAACCATGGCGACGGCGCGGGCCCAGCCCACTGCGACCGCGGGGGGGGGGACAGCGTGGAGACGGGCTGCTCTCATCCCACCCTTAACTCCGGTATCCGGTCCAGGGTTGCAGATGATTTAGGAAGGCTTTAATGCAATCATAATGGAAGGAAATTAACCAGAAGAGTTCGTGTGCTTTTCACTGCATTGCGCCAGCCTAAGGAGTTGGGTAAAGGGAGCACGCACCGCTTCTTGTACCGCTCTGCAGCTGTCAGATGGCTCTTTGCCTTTGTTTTGTTTTGTTTTAGCTCTGCTTTCTTTTCCATGATCTGTTTCGTGCATGATTAGCTTTGTTACCAGTAATACATCACTCTAAGGCAAATTTCATTACAAAGTCATGCATTCCTTGGTATTAACCTCTTAAAGGAGCACCCGTGCCATGGGTGAGGATAAACGTTTTAACTGTAGATCACTGCCACAACTCCTAACCAACACAAACATCTTCACCGACTGTATGGCCTCTTTGGTTCACTTTCCTGTTTTCCAAACACAGGGTTGGTGCAGACCATCAGTGTCCAGCACAGCATGAACGCCTCCGATACGGAATACGTTACAGTTTCCTCTCCATACACTTTCCACGTGAGTAACGAATGCTTCCCTCAGAGTGAGCTCACACAACCAAGCTTTCATCCTGCAAGTTGGAAAAGGCCACCTGCAAGTGAAGGGAGCATTGGCTCAGAGCTGCATGACTGTCAGGATTCCGACTGTGAAAGCCTTGTTCTGGAAAGGCAGTATCAGTTAGAACTCCAGCAACGGATTCGTGCTAATGATGAGCTGGTAGGACTGAGTGCTGGGCAGCTGGAGAATGACAGCTTAGAGGAAGAAGACAGCTTGGAGAAGGTGATTTCAGAGGAGCAAGAAGGAGCTAAGTATGTCACAGTGCAGTATACACACAGAGTACGAAAGAAAGAGAGCGATGGAAGGTAAGACATAGGTTTTCAGTGATGAGCATGGTTGTTCTAACCCCTTAAAGCCTCAGGATACACACTGCCTCTTTAAAACCAACTTAGATCACCAAAGTGCTATTATGGACACCCAAGGACCAAGTAATATGCGCAACTACTGTTGTGTCTTACCACATTCATAATCATTATACCCATTTCTCAGCTGTTGATCACGTTGGCTAAAACACCAGTGCAGGAGGTTAAGATGGAGAGAAAACATCCGTCACAGACTGCATACAGATGTTTATACTACAAGCCCTTTCATTTCTGTCTAAAACAGGCAAGCAGGAAGGTAGGAATTGGCAAATGGTTTGTGTGGCATTTTTGAGAACATGGGAGAGAGGATTGGAGAGAAAGAAAAGAAAACACGGCAAAAGCACATCCTCCTTTCATTTCCTGCAAAAAAATCCACGCTGAGCAAACTAGGTCACTGTCTGTAACAAAACGAAAAGGAAAAAGCTGATAGGTCGATAAAACAGTTTTGTTCTTAAAACTGCATAAATCTAAAATTAAGTGTTACCATCATTAAACATTCTTTAGGAAAGCATTAACTTGCTACATAAATAAAATCAAATTTGCTGTCTTATGCACGAAAGGTTTAACACTGTAAATTGGGAATAATTCTCAAGTTTATGGGGATTAAATTAAACCTGAAGTAATAATAATGTGCAGTTTCAATTTAATTGTCTACTTAAAATAAAGTGGCAAACAAATGAAGACTAAATGATTAATAGCATGCTTTTATTCACGTCCTCAACAGGCAAAATGGCCAGTTACTGAACATTTTATTGTGAGTGCAAATGATGTTAATTGTACTAGAAACATGCTCTAATTTTTAGTAATTTTTTTGACTGAATACTATGCTGAATGTGGGGCTCTTCATTAAATGGAAATCTGATTTTATTTTGTTTGAACTTAGCCTAGCAAGTACTCAAATACAGTCCATTAACCAGAGCAAATATCACAGCATATGCATATGAACCCCCCTCTCTACATCCATTACTAACCTCGGAATTTGAAGAGGAAATGCTGCATCTGTTGTCTACGTACCACACTTTTGTTGATGAGTACAGAGTCCATCTAACCTTTATATCAAGTTGGGGGGAGGAATAAAAGGTGCACTTCTTGTCTGCAGATGATTAGAGATGAAGGAGCTCTTCACACTCATTTTGTTCCCGTGCGGTGACCTGGCCTGCATAATCCTGTTGAGCTGCTGTGCACACATTTCAGCACAATAGAACTCTCTAGCATTATACTCTGCTCATTACAATTATACCAAATAGTTCTATATTCATTTCAAAATATAGCCACCTATTTTTGTTTACCTGCAGTGTATGGTAACTACAAATAATAATATTTTCACTGGTGTAAATCATTTCCAGTATACAGGGTACCATCATGCTTACCTGAAATGAAAAGCACTGCTAGAGAAAAAGATTTTTTTATTACTTAGAAGCCTCTTGAAATATTGATATATACTTAACCAGTTAAGAAAGAAGGAATGAATGATTTGTGGGAGCGTTAATATGATTGGCTATGTTGCAGTTAAGAGAATTCAGCTTAGGCAGTCATTATTGGTTCTGCTGAGATTTGAGAGTGGAATCTTGGCAGGTACATCATTTTTGTTTTTCAAAGCAGTCTCTGTTTTGTAGGTGACATCATCTGCATGGAAACAACAAGATGCAGTTGTTTTATCTTTTAGCTGATGCTGCTAGTGCTTATAATATCCGTGCCAGATTTAGGATCAAGGTTGTTTGCCACTGTGATCTGAATGTTAGGCCGATTAATCATTCACTGATAATGGAAATTAAAGATGAAAAGGAGGTCCTGCCTAAATTTTATACTCAATCATGTTTTATAAAACTGTCCTGGTCCTGGTCCCACAGTTGGCCCCACTGCGTGCACTGAATTGGTTGTGTTTGCAGAACACTTGCAGGCTCAAACTGTACACTGAGAAATGTAGAATGTGTGCAATTTATACATGAATAATTTTATATTTCTGTTTTAAATAGGGAACAGCAGCCTGCAGACAAATATTTCAGCCTAAAGTACAATCCTAACTGGAAGAACACAAAAGAAGCAGTGGAATTTTCTGAAGTAGAAAAAGCACACCACGCTGCTGAAGGAGGCAGTGTGGACCTTCCCCAAGATTCCTTTTACTTCCATTCCAGTGTCTCCTCAGGAGAAAAGAATCAACAGGAGGCAAAGTTTCAGGAGTCATTCTCCGAGTTTGGTACAGAATTACTGAGCTTTCATGAGCCAAATGCCTTCGTCTCCAGTGAACCTTTTAGGTTACATACCAGAGGGAATGAATCTTCAGATGGCTATTATTTCAAAGATAGCCTTAGTACATACAGCAGTGCTTTTTCTCTTCGGATTCCAGAAGATCGACCTCAAAGAGCAAAAAAAGACTTTGTGGAAAAAAACAAGCGGACTTTAGGAT